GAGGGTGTCAAGTCAGGGTTGCAGCGCGAGGATGAATCGAAGCTTAGTCACCCGGATATGGATGGATTAGGCACGGACTATTAAAGGATCGACTGCGCTATGCACTTGTAAGAAGGAACTGAAGATTTTAATCGTATGAGATGTTGAATATGGGTATTTTTCGAAAGGGAAAGACCAATGTGAGGGGACAAATTCAGCATTGCCACCCGGAGACGGAACGGGGACACCCCGGGCGCTTCTGATAACCCTCTCGGGGAAATACTTTGGAGCTAAGCCTGAAGCTATCGATACTAATTTACTTTGGCGATTTGCCCCTCAAAAGGCGCAGTATTTCGTACCTTGATGGATCCAAGATACCGTGCTTTTAGTGGCTGCCTGCGTGATAGGTACATGCTAAGGTCTTATCACGAACATGCATAGTGTGACAATGCGAATATAGTAAGATACTACTCTGTAGTCCTGGAGGCCAACAATTAAATCAACATGTAATTTATATGATTCATATGCTTTATATGCTTTATATGCTTTATATGCACCCATAGGTGTACAAAGGTTGGAATTGTACGGAGCACACAGTTCCACGTGTAATTCCCCCGCAGAGACTGGGTAATCGGACTACTCGTACTACTAGTACGAATACGAGACTGAACTCCGAGGGGAATGGCATTGAACATGGAGTAGTATGGTGCTAACATTATGTATTCACTATCTAGATCTATATCTTATCTATTTCTATCTATTATTTGACAATTTGGGGGAGGTTTTTCGGGATTTTTAATTGTCTTTTGGAGAGGGTGAGGATGACTTCATGTAAAATATATAGTGTAGTTGAATATATACCGTACCAATTATCATTTCAAGAAAATTGGATAATTCAATTCCTAATAGTAACTACACACATGTACATACTCTACCAAGTATACCATTATATACATTTTCATAATTCAAAACCATGTATGTACCCCGGAATAAAGTATGGTCGTTACACCCCTCCGTAGTCAGGCGAGTCCAAGTGGGGTTCACCAATTTAATCCTCGACTCTTCAACATTTGAACAATCCAAGCCCCTCACTCTATTTGAATATCTACAATGGCGGACGCAGAGCTAGAAGAGGTCAGTCCCACAGCTATACCATGAAAGGTTTATGCCCTTGATTCTGGTACTAAGAGAGGAAATAGATCCGACGAGCCCGTCTCGCGCAACTCCAGCAACAAGGGCCCCGCGGCGGCCAGGATGGTGGTGAACAGGCACAGCAGAGGAGGTAAGGGTTGGAACAAGTCGCAAGAATATACTGCATGCTAACGAACGCAACCAGACAAGCAGAGGGTAGGTCTCAAGATCCCAGCGTCTCATCAGTCCACCGATTGGCATTCGATAAACTATAAACAACGTCCTTATATCGCCGCATTTCTAACCCATCTTTGATTCATCTTAGCCGAACAACGCGCTTCGATCCTGCAACAAATCCTCGACCCCGACGCTGCCGATCGCCTGGGCCGTATCCGCCTCGTTAAGGAATCGCGCGCAACAGATATCGAGAACCGCCTCATCATGCTCGCCCAGTCTGGACAGCTACGGGCAAAGGTAACCGAGACACAGCTCAAGGAGTTGTTGGGGGCTGTTGCGGAGAACCAGCGCAAAGAGGAGGAGGAGCACAAAATCGTTATCTCTCGCCGCAAAGGTGGGTGGGACGACGACGATGATCTCTTGGACCTGTAAGGGTCGCATAAAATTTGATTTATGATCACTTGAGCCTATGGCCCTCTTGTTTATTGCATTCGGATACCTTTGTTGCTATCCGGCCGTGGCCCACTGGGAAAATCTACTCCAGGCGTTATGGTCCTTCTTTCTTTTACACTATTTTCAGTTCGGTTGAAATTGAGGGCAATCGGCCTCGCATTTGCGCATATGCGCATCGGTGATATGGTTTACAACAATCCAATAATCATACATCTCTCCCTATATTCGAGATCCATCGCTCCGGCAGGAGCGCAATCCAGCTCAGTTCGAAGTCTGTTGCTGTTTCTCCTTTTCCCGCTTCTGCTGCTGTCGAATCATCTTCCGAATCTCTCTTAGGTCCGGCGGACGCTCAATATTCAGCTCGGCTCTAAGCTCGTCCACATCTTTCTCCAACACCTCCTCCCAATAAACATTGATAAGCTCCTTACTCCCTAGCCCACTGCGAATAGCCCACGGGAGATGTAACGAGAGGAACCGCTCTTTCTCAGCGGGCTTCATCCGCACAAAGGCGAATAGACTCAGCCCCGTCATGGGTAGAAGTGTGTTCAGGAATTCCAGAGCCTTAAGAGCCAGCTCACCCTCCACAAAAATCGGTAGACCCGTCACTGCATGGTAGAAGTCATGGCACTCGCGGTATCGTTGCATGACATATGCACATTCTTCATTGTCGATGTACTGGACGTTATCTCGGGTGTCGGGAGATACACCCTCACGATCTAGCCATTTGGCGTATGTCCGGCCGACGGAGTTCTCGGGGAGTGTGCGGAGATGGGTCATTTTGAGGGTTTCGGAAGTGATGCGGGGACGATCACGGAGGATGCGGCGCCCTGTTGGGTCTGAGAGCATGGCATCACGTAGTCGGTATATGAAAAATGGTGTCGCGGTGGCTTCGCCCAAGGCCGCAATGAGATCTATATAATACCATGTTAGATCGTGATCCAAGATCTTATGCTGGCTCTGTAGGAAATTCTATTCACGCACCCGCTCTTCTAGGATTGATAAGGGATCCAATTGCCGAGCCCAAGGCCAGAGCCCCGCGTTCGATAGTAGTCAATGGGACATGGCCGGGATAGTTTGGTGGTGGGCGGTTCAGAACGGAAAAGGGCCGTAGAGTGCTTGCAGCTGATAGATTTGGATTGGCAGCCAAGGCTCGAAGCTCGATTGCTCCACGCCTCCCGAGTACCGACATTATGAATCCCAAAGCCAGAGGAACTTGTGCATGGTCTGGGAACGAAAGCTGAAGTGAAAGTAGAAGTGGTATGATTATCAGATCGGCAGGGACAGCATAAGTGGCTGTTGTGCCGTGCCGTAGATCGCGATAACGCCGTTTATCGCCGATAACCTGCATCTGCTCCACATTGTAGAGTGAATTTCAGACACACATCGACGCGTTTCAAGACTACTAAACATTCCTTTTGGGCTTTTTTTTGACTTGATAAAACAAGATATAATAGAGCAGGCCCCTCTGAAGGTGTGTTCAAACAAATGTATATCTCTCCAGCTCAATCCCCATCTCGTAGTATATACTGACTGGAGCAAGCTTCTCAAAGTCTGCCAAGAAGCACAAAAAGCATACAATATGAAGCCAGAATGGTGGCCCGGGGAAGAGCATGAGGCCTTCACCGAATGGGCAACCTCCAATGGCATAGACACCAACTCGGTGACACCAGCCCGGTTCCAAGGACGTGGGCTAGGAATGATGGCCACCCGGAACATCAAAGTATGAATCCCCAAATCTATGTATACTCCTCATTTGAATATGTACTCACCCAGTATCTATTCAGAAAGGAGAGATTGTCCTCCGAGTGCCGACACAATTGATGCTGAGGGTCGAAGACATCCCTTCCACCTTTATTGAAAAACTCCCAGAAGACATTGCTGTACACGGGCTCCTGGCGGCGTATCTCACGCACGGTACACCAGATGAACTGTCAAAATACGAATTATGGCAAAAGTCATGGCCTAGCCGCAAAGACTTCGAAGACAGCATGCCGATCCTCTGGCCAACCGTCCTGGGAGGACCGCAGTTGCCCAGCAGCGAAGATGACGCCTCGATTGACTCGGAGCAGCCAAGTCTTCTCCCCACGTCAATTTCAGGGCTTTGGAATACGCTAAACCCAGGCCCAAAGACGAGGAAATACAGCTCAGACTACCAGAACATTCTTTCGCAGCAGGCTCAGCGCTTGCGCAAAGCATGGACGGACGTCATCCCTGCCTTCCCGGAGACTAACTGGGAGAAGTTCTCATACCACTGGCTGATTGTGAATACGAGGAGCTTCTATTGGATCGGCGAGGGACAGGAAACACCGGAGGACCCCAACGATGCAATGGGGCTGGTGCCTTTTGCTGATTATTTCAACCATGCGGATGTTGCTGTACGTGATTTTTCTAAGTTCCATGTTATATTGACCGAGCTAACATATAGTTGGAAACAGCGGGATGTCAAATTTGATGAGAATACATATGAATTCCGTGCCACGAAAGATTATGAGGAGGGCGAGGAAGTGTACATGAACTATGGCAGTCATCCGAATGATACTTTACTAGCAGAATGTGAGAAAGTGTTGTTATCTTCTTCTTTTCGACATGCTGACTTTGTCCCCTTCATTTTTATAGATGGCTTCTTCCTTGACGTGAATGAAGCAGATTCGATCTATCTCGACGATATTGTTTTTGGGGACATTCCTTCCGCCGAACAGCAAGAGGAGTTGTGGTTGAATCAGTATTATGGGTATGTGGTTTGATTTGATATTTTACATGACAATGCGCATTTTGCACGCGATATATATATACAGTTCTCCACTGACACAGCGCTAGCAACTACCAAGTCACTCCCCATGGACCCTGTTACCGCACGGAGGTCGCTGCATGTCTGAGTTATATGAAGGAGGAGGATTGGCGGAACCATGTTCTTGAAGGCCAATCACAGGGCTTGGATGAGAGTCGATCTGAGGCCACCATCAAAAGGTGGATTCTGACATATGCCGCAGAGGCAGATGCAACTATAGCGGCGCTGCAGAAAGCCATGGAACTCAACACCACGGTTCAAGCACATCGTTCAAAAGCAGAAATGCTGCTGAGACGGTGGAGGCAGATCAAGGATCTCTGCGATCATGCAGCCGAAACTGTCTCTGTATAGAGATTATCCGCAAGAATTTAGATTATTGTTGAACCATTTGACCTGCTCACACACAGAGAGATATGACTAGGAGCCAAGGTAGAGTAAGTATTCGACAGAGTAGAAGGTAGTCCAGAGCTGTTTAGACGGGAGGCTCATTGGTAGAGATGACATTGTCGAGGTCGAGGGGAATCGCGCCAGCTTCTCGGCTCCGATGGGTAGCCGCTTTGGCAGCGACCAAATGCTTGATCATGTAGTTGAGTGCGCATTTGATACCCAGTTCTTCACCGCGACGCACAATCCATCCGTTGAAGTATTCAATTTCTGTCAATCTCCGCTGGTTGATATCTTGCTGCATCGAACTGTGGTTCTTGGCCGTGTTGCTTGCGATGTTCACGACCAGACGACGCAGGCGTTCTGGGGAGAAGCGGTCTTCGATGCCCGGGATACCTTGTAGTTCAGGAAGAGCACAGATCACGGCGGAGATCTCAAAAAGTAGCAGCCGCATGACACGGGTGAAGCTGAACGAGTAGAGGATTTCGCCATTGGTACAGTCGCTCAGTGCAGTCAGGGGATTGATGACGCAGTTAACTGCCAATTTCTCAAGTTGATATTGTAACAGACCCGCCGGTGTGTCAGCCACGGCGACCAAGGGTGGAGTGAGAGTCAACAGGCGAAGAAGATATTTTGTGGACGGCGCCCACGTATGGTCAGCTTCCGGCGTCGTGGGAGGGATATTGGGATCTCCAACCGGGCTGAGGATTGTGGTCCCAACGCCCAAATGCGAAATCTTGAACGAGTCGTTCCTACCTAGACCATGGCTGAAGACCGTTTGGATGTAATGTGGTCGATTGTTGGGGTCGGGGAAAACATTTTGATTGATGGAGTCGAGTACGCCCATGCCATTATGAACAAGACAAATGGTTGAATCTTTGGTCAGGCGGTGGCTAATATCTTTAATGGCAAGTTCCGTGTGATGCGCCTTGGTGCAAATAATTAGGCACTCGATGGGACCATTATCAGGTGGAGACTCGGAATTGAACGACGAGGGCCGGTTGTCAACAGGTGGCATTGTGTACCATCTTCCTTCTTCATCCACTGTTTCAACATCGAATCCCGTTCTGACATCGTCAAGGCCATGGGTGCTGACAGAAATTTGTCCCCTTTTTCGAACAAAGGCTTGGTAGAGATAGTCATTGTGTAAACAGATTGTGATTGGCGGCGGTGACCGTCTCGTGGCTAAAGAATGAGCAAAAAAGCAACCTAGATTGCCCATTCCGAGAATATGCACTCGTCCTGACAGAGGCGCATTGGTATCATGGTTGACCTCATGCAACTCTTCCTTCCATGTTGAGATAAATCGTGTGTTTGGCCCGCCATAGACTTGGAACCGGGAGCGAAAACATGTACCAAGAATGCCAGTTCGCCATAAGGAGCGGGGCCGAAATGTCGATTGCATTCTGAGAGCGTTGAGGAAAAGCTCCCCGGTATATCCGACTGAGTTGCAAGTATGTGTTTGGCAATGGGAGGAGGTCAGAACGATAGGTTTGGTGAAGTATCGATCTTTATGTTGTGGGTATTGTAAAATAGGTAAGAGCCCGGCGACTGGCGTGTCCACCAAGGCCTATTTCTAAAGCAATCAAGCAATTGTTGGATATGCGCGTGTTCTCGGCGATCTCAGTTGCGCAGATGATAATCGGTCCAGAATTCACACCGCCCACTTTTACCGCCCGAGTTGAACCCGTCTTATTTTTTCTTAGATCAAGCAATTTCTCATCTACACCACATCTCACCGTCATGGACCCAACAGATCTACTACCGCTGCTTGAGCAGCTGGATGATAATATCGATGATTTGGAGGGTGTTCTCCAGCCTCTTTTGGCCAGCACTCTCCTCAAAAACTCGAACAAATTGCCTGTTATGGACAAAGCAAAACTTCACGTGTTGATCACCTACACACTAGAATCACTAATATTCTGTACGTCATACTCCACCTTCCAAGCCTTGCTTATACTAATGAAATTGGACAGCTTATCTGCGACTTCATGGCGTGGATGCGAAGCAGCACCCGGTATTCCGGGAACTGACCCGTGTGAAGCAGTACTTTGAAAAGATCAAGGCACTGGAGACCGAGCCTGAGGAACGCACTATGACTCTTGACAAGGCAGCTGCGGGCAGGTTTATCAAACATGGCCTTGTAAGTATTGACCCGTTCAATTGTATTATAATGGTCACTGACCAAGTTTACACAGGCTGGCAATGATAAGTATGACTTGGAACGGGCAGAAAAGCAGGCCAAAGAGCGAGCCCGTGCTGAGTTCAAAGCAACCATGCTTGCCCGCAAGAGCATGGAGGCCTCGAAAGCGCAATCCAGTAACGATTCTGACGATGACGATTCTGAAGGGGGCGTGGACATTGCAACAGCAGCAGAGCCCCAGATTGACACAAATCACCCTGGAAAGACCGAGAAGGATAGCAAAAAGAAATCCAAGGGAGAGCACAAATCAGAAAACAGCAAGTCAAAGAAAGAGAGGAAAACCAACAAGGCGACACTGAAAGAAGAGAAGAAGGAGCGCCGGCTGAAGAAGGAGGACACCCGAAAGGCCCGCAAGGCCCAATGATTGCACTGCGCCTCAATTTTGGTGGAAACTAAGTACGGACTGCCTTGCGCCTCGAATACCAAGGACGGACTGCCGGGCGGTCTCAAAACATAGCATTGGCTATGCGTCATCATTACCAGAACCCTCTGTCGACACAACATGCATTGTCGAATCTAATCATCGCTTTGCCAAACCTGTCCGGCCATGAGCTTCCATTTAGATGGATGTCCCGGCCATCTCGAGACCACGATGAGTGGCTCTATGTACTACTATGTATGTACGAGACTTGGATGTCTCCATGAATCAAGATACCCTTCCGCAATGGGAACTACAACAGTCGATACACTCTATGCACAAACTAGTAGATGAAACCAGCTAGATGCTTCTTTCCATGACATAATTCGCGCACATTCATTCTATTGCTTTTAATAGTTAATAGCACATGCTTGTAATTCCCGTGGTAAACCCGTTCCTGACTCCGCGCCGGGCAGCCGGCACCGTAATGTCCGATCCACGTGACAGCCATCCACCAATCAGAATCCACGAATCTCCCAAGGTTTGCATCGGAGTTTGCCTCAGTGGCCGAACTTACTCATCTTCTAGCTTCTTCTTTCTCCACTAGAACTTATACTTATCTCAACTTGCATATCCTCACCTCCCTTTTACATTCGTCCAAACAAACCCACACACAACCATCAAAATGCCTCGTCAACAACGCCGTGCCGCTCCCACCCCTGCGCGCAGCGCTCCCAGCCGTCCTACCGCCGCTCCTGCTCGGCCCGCGGCTGCTCCCTCGCAGCAGCAGTCGCAGCCTCACTCGACCGCCGCTCAACCCCCACAGGCCCAGCAGGCTCCTCCTATGCAGCAGCAGAGCGCCGGCCCTGGACTCTTCGGCCAGATGGCCTCAACCGCAGCGTAAGTTCCAATCCCGGCTTCGTGTTTCGTTCCCCGATAAAATCCGGGGTTAGGATCGACTTTTTCCGACATATGTGCTAACAATTATTTCGATCTAGTGGTGTTGCCGTCGGCTCTTCCATCGGCCACGCCATCGGTGGCTTCTTCAGTGGTGGCTCCGGCGCCCCCGCTGAGGCCCAGCAGGCTCCCCCTGCCCAGGCCCAGGCTATGGACAACGGCCTCTACCAGAGCAACGCTTCCCAGACTTCCTACGAGAACCCTGCCTGTGAGGTTGATGTCCGCAACTTCCGCACTTGCATGGATGAGAACCAGGGTAACCTGAGCATTTGCGGTTGGTACCTTGATCAGCTGGTATGTTTACACTTATTTTTATTTTTCTCTGCTTTTTAAATATATGCTAATGTCCCACAGAAAGCTTGCCAGGCTGCCGCTAAGCCCTACTAAGGGTTTGATACCAATTTGACCCTTAGTGGTCAGAAAAGACAGATACCATTTTTTAGTAATAAGTGATGGGGTTTATGGGCTTGATTGTTCATAACCAATCTTTCTTTTGCATAGCCATTCCCATATCCCCTCTTTGTACTTTATACCATCTCTCCTCGATAAAGGAATCAATGCTTGACTACCGAATCAAGAATTCGAATGCATGAATTTTAACGAATTTCCTACATTTGTAGTTATCTGATGGTAGTTTGGACTAATGCCTATATCAAATCCAAATGGGATTAAAAATGGGCACTCAGTAACTTTGTGGACAAGGTCACTTATTACGACTGTCAACTTTACAGCAATCAAAAAGCAAAAAAAATATATATGTAACCAGTGTCATAGTACAGAGCGTTGTGGGTTAAACCATCCGATCCATGAACGCCATAGATAAATAATGCAAGAACACCAAAGCAGCCTTGGAATACCGGTAGGACTTATTTATCCTTGTCATCTTGGTTCTTCCGTGGCTCAAAGTTCAACTAAGAAATATGTTAGCCAAGCCTGAACAAGATATCCTCACTTAGCATCACATACCTGGTTCCCATTGTAAAGCTGACTATTCCCACGTCCATCTTGCTGATCTCTCAGCGTCCGAATATTGGGTCCTGTCGTCCTAGGCCGTTGAGAATTGCCAGTAGCCGGAGCGGGCGAAGGGGTGGATGCACCGCTTGCTGGCGCGGTGGAGCCATATCCAAGGAATGAGCCCACAAGACTCGTTGCAGTGCTGGCAGCAGAAGAGGCCAAGTTGTAGACGGCAGAGATACCACGAACAGGCAAGCTACCCGCTGCCGAATAGGCCTCCGTGTATGTTGATACAGGGACCATGACCAGATTAGCGGTGGAACCGAGGCCTAAGTCTCGGAGAGTTTGCGATTCTTGGGCGACGGAAAGAGTTTCACTGGGGAGGGGGGTTAAGATATGTTTGAGGTTGTAGGGTCGGTTATCGCCTTCCATCTTCTGATCAAGCCAAGCCCGTACATCATTTCGGATGGTCTGAGTGGGTGTAAAGCTAGATCGCACGGAACTTCCATCAAACAGGCGCACTTGTAGTCGGTACTCGGTTGGAGGTCCTCGAGGGACTATAGGTTTTGGCTCCTGGAGTTCGCTCTTTACAACACCCTTGTCAGTGGGCTTCTTAGACCCCATCGGTGCTTTGCCTTTAATGTCTTTATTGCTGACTTCTTTCGATGATAAGTGCTTCTGAGATGTAGAGCTCGCTGCCTTTGTAGGTTCTGTAGCTTTCTTGGGTATTTGTTCAATCTGTGATTGTTTCTTGGTCGCAATTTCGCTTGCTTGCTTTGCGGATTTGCTGGCATTGGATGGCATCTCAGGCCGGGGTTGGGGCGTGACTGACACCGGCGTATTATTAGTTGAAGCGGTAGGACTGTCATTGCTTTGTAGTTGCTGCGCAGGACTAGGTGTCTGTTCATTTTCCAAAGCTGTAATCAATCGACTGCGGAAGTCATCTTTCGAGATATCTGGCCCGATGTATTCCTTTAGCGTGCCGTTCCTGGAACGAAGTCAGCAAATCAACACTGAGTTGCCCACAGGGTTGAACGGTTAAGCGCACTTGATAAGAATGACAGTCGGAAATTTTGAAATCGGACAAAAAGGGGCCAGGAATCCAGCTTCCTGTGACCCCGCTGTCAAGCGTAATACAACTGCTTTGGCATTGAGTGCTTGTGCAACCTGCATGGAGTCAGATACCGCCGGACATTCGATTGTAGCGAGTGGAAGTACCTCATCATCACCGAAATAAGCATCTTCCCATTGAGAGCTCAACTCCTCGTCATCTGTATGTTGAAGTCCCAAGATCAGCGACATGTCATCTCATGCGGGGAGAAAATCAGCGACCTCTAACGAAGCAAGTAACCGCTTTAGCATCTCTCACTGCGGCAGCAATACCCTCCTGAAGGGATCCGTTGTAGAAAAGTGTCATTATCGCATTCCAGTAAAGACTTAGAGGACATGAGAAAACCAGTGCGGAGAGACAAGTATAGATTGGAGAAGCGTGGGCGGTCACGTTAACCCCCGATCCCGAAATTCCAACTGCCGTCACATTTGCAGCAAGAAACTCCAACTCCTACCTCGTCCAAAGCTCAACTCATTCTTCACATTTTCCAAACCGTCAACATGCGGTCGATCTTTTCTGCTTTGCAGAAGACATCCGCGAGGGTCTGGACACCTCCGACTCGGGCTATCCGAAGCCCTCGTGTACCATCGAAGATCAATTCCATCTCCGCCAAATTCCGCCTACAACAATTCCGCCATATCTCGCAATCGCGTCAGCTGGCTGATGGTCTGAATATCGTGGACCACCCGGCAAGGCTTGTCCGAGTCAATAAGAAACATGGACCTGGTCTGATCATTTTGGGTATGTCAAAGTCTAATGCTACATACATATTCTCGAGAATGCTATGTTTCAACGCCTAAGAGATAATCACTAACGTATTATTCTACATATCTATAGCTCTGATTCCTATCATCTCATTTATCCTGGGAACATGGCAGGTACAGCGCCTGGACTGGAAAACCAAACTGATGGCCAAATTCGAGGACCGTCTCGTGAAGCCTCCTCTGCCACTGCCGCCCCGAATCGACCCGGATGCCATTTCAGAGTTCGACTACCGCCGCGTGTACGCTACCGGCCGTTTCCGCCACGACAAGGAAATGCTGGTTGGACCCCGCATGAACGAAGGAGAGGATGGGTTTATTGTGGTGACCCCCCTCGAGCGAGAGGGACAGAGTACCGTCCTTGTGAACCGGGGTTGGATCTCAAGGAAGCTGAAGGACCAAAAAGACCGGCCTTTAGGTGTACTGGATGAAGAGGTGACTGTGGAGGGTTTGCTACGAGAGCCATGGAAGAAGAACATGTTTACACCGGAGAACAAGCCGGAGGAGGGGAAGTTCTACTTTCCCGATATCAATCAGATGGCGGAGAAGAGTGGGAGCCAGCCTGTTTGGATTGAGCAGACAATGGGTAAGGAGGCTATATTGAATTATCTTGCTAATGCATGGCTAACAATGATTTGCGTTTCCAGTGCCTGACCTCCTCGAATCATATGATCGCGAGGCCAAGGGTATCCCGATTGGCCGCGCCGCAGAGGTGAATTTGAGAAACAACCATTCTCAATACATCTTCACCTGGTAAGTTGGATCTGTTGCATGCTTTCCCTTCCCACTTTGTATTGTCGCTCATACTTTGCAGGTATGGCCTATCTTTGGCCACGACTATCATGATGTGGATGGTTATCCGCAAGAACCCCAACGAGGCACTGCGTCGAGTTCGCCAGAACCGAAACTGGTAGTCGGCAGTGGGATTCCAGCTTTACCTTTGCATAATTCATTGGCGTTAAAAGGCGTTACATTCATGGGAGATTTTGTTCTGGACATTCATGGAGGCATGGCCAATCTCATATCTTGCTGAAGTTCTTTGGGTAAATGCTTCTGGGCGAGGGAAAACACGGTGGTTGAGTTGTTGATATGGCGTTGTCTGGAATAAGTCAGCAGTCATTCCTATAAGATGGTTGGCTTCCAAGGAAACTGACCTTCTCAGCAATGTGGTGACGTCGCTCTCATCAATGGTCTTCCGCCCTGCATGCTTTGAATACGCAGCCAAGTCTTGACTTGCTTGCTCAAAGTACCAAGAGGACGCCTGCTCGATCGCGGCCAGCGTGGCTTTGTTGATTTTTGCTTTTGGTCCAGCCCCCGAACGCGCGAAGCGAGTCGCCAGCTTTTTTACCACACCTGCAGGCAAGTTCGGGATAGGAATTCCGTGTCGTGAAATTTTCTTTTGCTTGCTCTGGGCTGGGATAGCTTCATCTCGCAATCCACCTCCAACGATCCCAGGGCTCACACTGGGTGATGCTGCGGGTGGGAAGTCGAGTCCGAAACCAAAATCACCTCCAGCATCGTCATCATCATCGTCTGATGGAGCTGGAGGTGCCTCTGCGGTGGACAGTTCGAAATCCTCCATATCGTTCATGTCCCCGCCAGTGGGATCTTCGAGCGGAGCAGCGGCAGGAGATGGAAAGTTAAGGTCAAAATGGAAGCGGCCCAGGTCTTCCGTCTCTCCCCTATTTGTGATATTAGCATTTGTAACATAGACAATCCAACTCTTGTATACCCACCCTCTATCAAAGTCGCCCCCACTCATCATTGTATCCTCTGCCTCATCATCCTCACCCATAATACCAGTCTCGTCTGCATCATCGCTCTCCAATCGTGTCTCGTCGAAATCTCCACTGATTCTGCCAGTAGCTCGGCTCATCATTGATAACCGGTCCCGGTCTCTAATGCTAGCGTCGCGAGGATATTCGACAGACTGATAAGTCATATCCATATCCTCCTCTGCAAAGGCGAGAGACATCCTGGGGGGGTGTATTTCAGGACTCGCTTCTTCGCCTTCTTCCTCGGACTCCTGAATAGGCAGAGATAACCGTGGCCGCTCGATTTCCGGCTCATTATCAAGCTGTTCAAATTCATCAATTGGCTCTTCGATAGGCTCTGGCTTTTCCTGCGGCGAGGAGCGGATAGGTTGAGATATAGGAGCGAGCGCTAATACCGGCCCAAAACAATCAGTTTAATTTCTCATGTCAAATGGTACAAGGTAAAGCTCTTACCTCTTCCCAGGTTTCTGAGAATATCGAATGTGGTCTCCCGTTGCATTCGGCCACTTTTTCGACGATCCCGACCAGGGGTATTTGCCGCTCGTTGTTGCCGGGCACGAAGTCCGTATGGTGTTGCTGGTGCACCTACGCCTCGAGCGCGCGGTGTGTATCGAGAGGCAGACCGCTGAGTGCCCGGGGTGGCTACAGTAACAGGTCGACTTGGTGTAAGAGGGTAGCGTGTATGGATAGGTAGGCGTTGTAGCTATATGTAGATGATACAGTTAGCGATGTTCCAAACTCCCAAAAGGTATTGGGTAGCGCTCACTCCGGTCAGTGTTGTATCCCCAGATGGGGTAGCAGTTCCAAATAGTGACCGACGGCCACGCGCATTTGGGGTAGAAGTAGACATGGTTTGGTTTTTTCTACAAGAGAAGCACAGCTATATCATGTAAGATATACCACACCACATATGTGATCACCACAGCAATAAATCCCCAGATCAACTGGGCGAACAGTGAATCACAAGATTGAGGTTCATGTTTGTCTGTCGCGTCTAGAAACA